CGCCTTACGTAGAGAAGATGCTCACAAACTGAAGGAAACCACTAGGCGTTAGAAACATTTCAAAATATCATTGAGAGTTCGTTTTAACTACAGTTTTAGACCCAGACTAAACTAATTTGGGCGCAGTCTTCAGTTTTTGTACCATTTTTTTTTCAGTAGCAAATACCTCAAATAAGCAACAGTATACGAAGAAAAGTAATTATCAATAAATATTGTAACTCCTCTGCAACTTCAACCCATAATTTATTCACCTTATCTCTGTTGTGACAATCTTTCGATCGTTGGTCCCATAGAGGAGAACGAATTGAAACGATGTTTATTAATTTTTCTATACCCATATCGCTCACTAGACAGACGACTACTGGCGATGGAATCAAACATTCTCAAAAACCAAACTGTAGCGCATATTCGCCGCTACTAGCATCGCATCGCATCGCGCTACATCGCACCCTTTGTTAACAAGGCGCTTAAGATACCAGTATTTAAAATCATCGCATAGCAGAGCATCGCATGGCTGATCGCGTCTGAACGTACACTTAGCCTTGCAGCGCGCGTATTTTTGAAGAGTGAAACTTTAACGTCCATGTGTACGAGTAGTAAAAGAACTATGCTAACGACGATATACTGGGCAGTAAAACAAACGCGTAATACCTACCTGCTGTTCTGTTCGACAAGTCATGACGAGCGTTTTGCATGATACGAGCGTCGATGGTGTGAACTGTTCCATCTAAATCTACATAATGCTAAACTTTCGTTTTTTTCAGCGCGACAATTTCACGCCCATGTGTACCTACAGATAGTCGACGGAATTCAGCAGGACAGACGTTATTTTGTTTTCAGTTTTCTAAATTGACCGTACTATAGCGATATTTAGTTAATCTCCAGAATCCTTACTGTTGGCGGGTCTTACAAAACACAGATGCAAGCACACCGGTGTTACCGCTAACATGCCATGGCAATAGCGATGCCGTTCTAAAATATCGAGCTCAGGTGTGCACCAGTCGTTGTTATCTTTGAAACGTTCCGTTCGTCCGACAAACACTCGTATGTGTTGTGTTTTGACAATGCCTCTCTCTACATCTCTTCGGAATTTTTTCACCTCTTTCGAATTTTGAATCTTGGTTCTCTTTGAGCAAGTCCGGAAATTATTGGTTGTCTTTAGCGATTCACAACAACTGAATGCTTTCAATCTTACGTATCATATGCCAATTTCACTTCCAGCGCCGTGAGGAAGTATTGTACTGTTACGAGTGCATAACGAAAAATCATGTCACTCATTTCCGTCTGCGTGTCTGTCGATCTGTCTGCTCATCCTTGGATCATTGTAAAAGGGGATTGGGATTTGCAATGGTATTTTAATTTTGTGGTAGGATTAGTATTATTACTACGATAATTCAAATATGTAGTCATGAGAAAATGTTATTTAAAAAAAGAGCAAAACGAGCTTTGAAAAGTTGAAATCGGCCTACTGATTACGAAGATATGTCGAACAACTGTTCTACAACTTTTCGGCCAAACGACCACGATTTGGATCGCGTGACCTGATTTTCAAATACTAGTATAAGTGCCTAATAACGACCTGCATTTAAACTGACTTAACGGCACACATGACAATAGTGACTGCTCCTACACTACAATAAAACGCAAAATATTGAATACTTTCTACCATACAACTTATATTCAGATATTTCAGTTGAAATCGTTCTGTGGGATATTTCCCACGTTCAGTCAGATTTTGTCCAGCGCACAAAGCAAGGGGGCAGGGGCAATGAATGGTGTACACACGACTCGCACGGCCCTCTACGAAATACCGTGGGAGACTTCGGGGTAGCATTGTGCATCATGCACTGCTAATATGATACGTACTCCCGAACAAAAGACTAATCGGGGCCGACTCTAACGCTGACGGGATATGCTGGCTTTTAATGAACTATGTTTTAATGTGACATTCATTAATTTGTAATATATCGAGTTAATGTTGGATGATGAAGTCCTTGATCCACGTTCAGTTCACGTGGCACGTCATATGCATGGTTGTATTGGTTTTAACTTCAGACTCATCAGTGCTGCGTTGCATGTGTAACTTATGGCATTTCAAAAATGCGACGGGGCACCATATTGGAACTTTTCTTCCAACAGAATCGGAGACCAAGTGATGAGTCATTTTAAATATTCTGATGCTCAACGCGCAAAAAAAGTGTTACAATATTTTCGTTAAGCAATCTACAGTTTTATAGAACTAACTTTCAGTCAAATCATCTGTTGACATTTCCCAGTGTTTTTATACTCCAGGCTTGTTTATTTATTTAAAATATGTATTTATCATTATATTGATTGCTACTAACTACTAAAAACTTGTACAAGCATTTTTGGTAGGAAAATATTATTCAAATAATGGTTTTGTATAGATGTTATCACAATTTTGAGTTTCATTGTTGCATTTCCACGTGCAGCATTTTTTTATCACTGTTATATAATATTTTCATGTATTATAATAATTACTGTAACCTGTATTTTGACGTTTCATATTCGCAAGGCTGACATGAATAAAAGTTATTATTTACCTACTATCTTTCAAAATAGCGGACTGGTAGACTGTCAAATTTGAGCGTTTTTGTATATTACAACTTGACAACTAAACATCAAAATGCTACAGGCAATTTTCCTCTTTTGGAAAGGTCCATTTGAATTTGCAGTGGAATATGGGACATTTTTGTTCAAGCGATCGATTACATACTCAAAACCAAATTCTTTATATACTAAGTGACATATAAATCCGAACACCCAGTTTAAATGGTTTTATTTTAATAAAATTTTGAATAAGTAGGTACTTAATGAAGCATAATAAGTAAATGATAAAAATTTCAAAATGATTGCACTGCTTTAAAGCCCTTTGACCTTTAATAATGTGTGGATGCACCCTGATGTGCTACGCATTCTCCAATGCGCCTAGGCATGCTTCTGATCAGGTGGTCAATGTCCTCCAGTGGTATCTCATTCCAGGCAACCACCAACTCCTCTCGAAGTGCTTCTAGAGTGTGAGGAGGACGTTGCAAATTGAGCAATCTCCTACCCATCATATCCCACACGTGCTCAATTGGGGATCAGTCGGGAGATCTTGGTGGCCATGGTAACAATGTGACATCATTATGTTGAAAGAAGTCTATTGTGACTCTTGCAAGATGTGGTCGGGCATTATCTTGTTGGAAAGTTGGATCTGCCAGGGTGTCAAGATAGGGTAAAAGATGGGGTTCTAGAACTTCGTGGATATAACGCTGCGCGTTCATGTTACCTCTGATGAAGATTAAAGGTGACCTGGAACCATAAGCTATAGCACCCCAAACCATAACTCCAACAGTGTGATGAACATGTCTTTCAACAAAAAACTGTGGATTCCTCCTTTCACTACGTCGCCTTCTAACCCTGGCACGACCATCGTGCATGCCTAAACAAAATCGACACTCGTCACTAAACACAATACTGTTCCATTCCTGATCCCAGAGTGACCGTTGTCTGCACCACTCAAGGCGATTACGTCGGTGTTCTCGAGTTAAAGGGAGGACCCAGTATGGCCGGTATGAAAACAAGCCAAAACTTCTCATTCGTCGGTAAACACTTCGCATGCCAATAGGTCTTCCGTGTTCTGCAAGCCATTCATTTGCAACGGACCTGGTAGTGGAGAAACGGTCCCTTAAGGCCAATAATCTTAGGCGGCGATCTTCAAGGACTGTTGTTCTACGGCGGCGTCCAGTGCCCCTTGCTCTTTGCGTACGGCCTTCTCGAAGCCAAGCCTGTCAACACCTAACCACAGTGTCTACACTTCTTTGCACTCTAACTGCAATTGCCCGAAAAGAAAGTCCAGCTTCCCGAAGTCCCACTATACGGCCCCTATCAAACTCACTAAGTTGACGAAATCGTACAGGTCTCCGTACTCTAGGCATCGTAACCGATCGTAAAGGATGTCAAGAACCGAAATCCGCCAACGTTGATTCTTTACTGCGGCTGAAATATTCATTTTTAGAGCGTTAGTGAATTAAAAAAAGCAGTATAAAAACCGGAATGTCCAACTGATAAGGCTGAAAATGTTTTCACTTGTTATTTACAGTAAGATAAATACATTCACCAACTTTTATTAAAATAAAACCATTTAAACTGGGTGTTCGGATTTATGTCACTTAGTATACACATACATAAAATACAACATAGGATGGATGCACCGCGGTGTCGTCTCCCACTCCATCTTCCTGGTTTGCATTGGTCCTGTATTTGGGGGCTACTGATTCTGCCCAATAACAGTTACGCTTACGCTCCCCGTTTCTTGGAGTACTTCTATCAAGGTGCTGATCACGCGCTGGTTATGTTTTGATTTAATGTCTTTTTCGGATAGACATACTTCAGGTGCGCCAATGTCCCTAATGGAGAAATGTGCTGAGTGAAACTACTCGATTCTATTTTTTATCACTTAGCCCACACGCGATCATCGATATACAATGATGATTCGCCAACATCCTGGTAGACCGTTCGGGTGTATTTTTGACCTCACAAAAATGTTTTCGGTTGCAAGCCGGATTCTGCTGGAGCTTTGGTAACAGCAGCAGCAAATAGGCATCCTTGTTGTGCTGGCTCGTTTGTGTGCAGGTGTTCACGAGACTCCGTGGCGCCGCAGTCTGGTCTGCCTGGCCCGGCCATAGCAGCGTCGCCGCATTCCTCATTCAATGAACACGTGCATCCACCGTTCTCTTTCACAGATATCACCGCACAGGGACGGAGCTAGTACTTGCGAACAGTGCATTCTAAACATGCATCAATCCGGACTTGATTGCCGTGCTTTGCACCTACTATGAAATCGAGAAAAAGGCGTTCAAAGTATAAGCTAAGCCTCTGACACATTATCAAAAATTTAGGATTCTATCAAAACTATTGTATGTTATAGCCAAAAGACTTTGCCAACGAGACTGATTCACTAGGTATCAATAACCAAATATTTCCGAAAATTGCAGATATCCCCTCTCTGCTTAGCACGGCAGTTGAAGTGGGCCGAAATGGGAGCAGCATGTCTTGGTCCACGAAGAATCTCATAAAAAGTTTGACCAAGGAAAGGTCGGCCATTTGAAGTAGGGATCGACCACTACCGAATTTGCAGATGTACGAATCAGTAGATATGACTACCCCTATGCCGATAGAGGTCGACCACTACAAATCGAAAAGTTGTTAAGGATCATAATTATTTAGAAAAAACAATATGTTAAAGTACAGGGTGTTCCTAAACAAAAATAAAAAAAGTTCATATAAACATGTGTCCTATATGTCTCGTTATAGGGTGCTGTAAATTTATACGCACTGATGAGACTAAATAAGCACAAGACACAAATAGTGTTCAAATACCACAATTTTAAAATGCTTCTCTAATACACTACATGCAATTTTCAATGTCAAACTTTACTTCAACATTTGCATATTTTCAAAATAGAACGGTTTGAAATTTTTAAACGGATTCCACTTCAAATTTCACACCGATTTTTGTCCAAAAGGTCTGACAAAAAATCTCAAGAGAGGCGATTCGTGAATAATAAAAGTAATACATGATTCAAAGGAAACAGTGGCGCAGAAAATAATTTTCTTTTTCTTATGAAGCTTCAAAATTTCCTCATTTCGACGCCACTGGTGTAGTCTCACGCACAAATTTTTTTGTATGTCTGGGCTATGCTGTTAATACTCTTAACACACTATGATAATTTTTTCGATTTCAAAATTAAATTTTTGGCACCCTGAACAGTAAGGAGGCGTTCAAGGACCCATGTTCATAAAAACTTTTTATGTAGTTTTTTTACCTTTTTTAAGCCCTAGAAATATTATCCTCTTTTCTCGTGTTGCATAGGATACAAATTGCAGTAACTACTTTGTCAGTCCTTTGATTAGAAATTTTGTAGAAATATTTCCACACGGCACTATTTTTCAAGAAATTCAATATTTTCACAGTATTGTGAAACCCGTTTAATAAAAGTGAAGTTGCTTAAAACAGATAGAAAACTTATTAAAAAACTCAGGTCTGTGAACATTGCGCTCATGAAACGCGATTTTATGAAGCTTTCCTGCAATCTGTAGAAAATTAGGGTTCTTTCAACAAAATGACAGTCCCAAACGGTTACTTACTGTTTAGTACGTAAATAGACAACACTAAACTAATAATTTGTTTGGACGATTAATAGTATCAGGTTGAAGCTAACAAGGAGTGTCAGGCTTTCAGGGACTATCCACTACAGCCATCCAAATACTAGTTAACAATGCCATGGCACTCCTTCACCTGACGCACTTCATCGTTGTTCTTCCCCTTCCTTTCTTTCTTCTTCCCTTCTTTCTCCCTAACTTTGCCTGGTATCTGGGCAACCAGACCTAACAGACCTGCTGACGTAAAATACTTTAACTAAGAGCAAAGGTCCAACGGATCGCTCTGATATACAATGACTAATAGAATAGAAGTAGTAAAAATAAACGGTAAATTGACAACTTGTGGACTAGATACCCACTAATGTGCCGCTAGTTTATTCGACGCTTACTACAAGTGAGCATGAAGTGAATATCAGCTAGTTCAAAGGAGACATTTCATAGGAAAACCTACATAATCGATTTAATAATGTCACGGGCGCGGTACTATCAGAAACTCTTGTTAGAAAGAAAGAACCCATCATAGTTCACAGGATTTTCTAAATTCGCGATCTGGCTCTGGATTCATTATGATGATTTTGGGCCATTAGTCTCGATCAGCTTCTTGGACTTCTGGCCTATTTGGGGACTTTGGGTGCAGCCAGGTTTTGAAGCAACTGAACTATCAAAAAATACATCATAACATATGGACTCCAACACATACTAATCACTTGTACAATATCCGAAAACCAAAAGTTCGTCAATTTTGGCCTAACAGACAAGGTTAAAAATCGATTTAAAATAGAGTGATATGAAAATACTTTTCGGGGTCTTCGGAAACAAATTTAAACTTTAATTTAGATACTTGGCGATCTCAAACATTATATTTTTTACGAGCTATTAAGCACTGAAAATACCCATTTCAGAGCTTTTCAGTTTTTCGCTTATAAATAGTCAGCTTTAGAGAAAAGTTAATCAAAGCCGGAATGATCCAAAAAACGTGACAAATACTAGTCCGGGCAAAAAAATTTAAATTTATTTAAAAAATTGTGTAAACTTTTATCTGGATTACCGTGCGGATTTTGAGGTTAGTTAATTTTAAATCGATTTCAAACTTATTTTTCAACGCCAAAATTGATGAACTTTTTGTTTTCGCAGACTGTACTCTGTAATCTGTAGTGCTTGGCAAGCAGGTCAACAAACTTAGGTGAGTGCGAAGCCGAAAATCAGAGGGCTTCAGGACTCCTCCGCCAAACATTTTTAAACTTTAAACAATTTACGCATATGATAGAAATAACGTTCAACTTTACTATCGAACAAAGTACCAAAGCGTTTAATTTGAACATAATAGTTTATGTACACACACCTGATGTTTCCGTCACCTGTTGCTACTTATTGCTTTTCTACGAAAATACGATTTTAAGCTAACAAAATACCGTTGACCTTGAAATAACGAGTATCTATCTTATCTGAGTACATCTGCACTGAACTGTCCAATTTAAACAAGTGGTAATCACTAACACCTGATACGAGTATTCAAATTGCCAGAACACTTGTACTCAAGGTGTTATTTTTGTTTGAAAGCGCGACAGGTGTTCGTTTATACATCATAGATATTTCGAAACGAAAGATTTGCGTATCATAGAAATTATTGAAGAAAGGAAATAGAGTTGAGTGATACATTTTTGATTGGAGACATAGTCAAAAGAATAAATACAGTGCTGATGATGTTATTGATCTTCAAAATCCTGAACAGGGTTTATATCAGAGGCGGTTCATCTTTTTGGAAACTTCGATGCCACAGAAAGAAAGATACATAAATACGTACGTTGAACGCACATCTTCTGTATATATCACGGGATTGAAAATACCGTCAAGTAGATAGAGTCTGCAGTTCCTACCAGGGGCGTTGCCAGAACCGTGACAGCCGTATAACGATACGGGGTCTTCAGCTTGTAGGCTATCCAACGTACAAAAGAAAAATGCGTAGTGTTGCAATCTCTCGCAAGTTTTTATCATATGTTTAACCCTCAACAGGTTTAATAAAAGAAAATGGAATAAATAGTGGTAAGTAGATTGACTCGGTACATCCCAAGAATTCACCTATGCCTATTTTCAAATTTCCCATGAGCCAAGATGAGTTTTGATAAAGAAACAACATTTTTGAGCTCCATAATATTTTTGAATACCAGAAACGATGTAAGTAAATTTTAGAAATTTTAAAAAATTGTAACCTCTTCAAAAAGATGTTGATCATCCTTAAACATATTAATAAAGTCGTAATGCATACAAAAATAAACTGGGACGATCGGATTCAAGCTAGTTTTTACTAATAACACCGCTGCCATTTAAGTGATTTTCAAAAATTAAGTAGCATTACATCTTGCCGATGATCCATTCCCTCTGACTGAGAAAAAATCCTGCGGGCTACTGTAGTCAATACGTGACGATTCATATTATTCAATGCAAACGTCTTTGTTTCTTTTATAAAATCTATACTTTACCCTCCATTTGGGATTCTCCACAGTTGCGCGGGGCCTCCTTAAAAATGTTGATATCGGGCCCCTGAAGAGCAAGGCTACGCCACTGGTTCAAACGCAACGCTGTCATCAGTTCATGAAGGATAGTGTTAGCCCCTCTTAGGAATAAGTTAGCTACGAACATTACGAAAATTAAACAGATCAAGTCAGTCAAACAGGTCGATAAAATTAGCCCACAGTGGCCACCCTTTTGACAACGTTGCAGTCTAGACACCCATCGTTTAGACCACGATGCAGATATATCTACGTTCGTGGCGTTGCTGCGTGTGGAAGAAATATTCTGTTTTAAAAACTAATGTAAGGGGAAATGTATCATGTATGAAATATATTTAATAGGTCAAACCTCTTTCAACCACCAGCTCCCAATTTTTAACTCATACAGATTCACTGTTCTGAAGAATTTAGGCTGATTTTTATATGTTCATCATTTGCCTGTAGCTCAGCCGAGGGGACAATTTTCCAAAGCTATCAGTTTTTTCCTTAGTATAGAAGTAACCTTGTCTCAAATTTTCATCAAGTCCGAGAGGTACTATCCAAGTTATACAGGAGAGATTAGCGGACACATAGACAGACAGACAGACGGAAATGAGTGACATTGTTTGACGTGATGTTTTGATGTAACATTTAAGAAACATACTGATTTATTTTTGGAATCTTTCGCGATTACAATACTTTCTTGCCAGTGCTGAGGAAAGTAAAATGTAGTATCAACTTAACCGATAGAGAGGTTTTTAAAATATTCAATTTTTGCTGTATGTAGAACGGTATCTATTTGGGAAAGATTGTGGTCAATTTTTAGAAACATATTGTCAGTTAAAAGCATTTTATAAAATGCCAACTGTTCCAAAACAGTAACGACCAAAGTTATTGAACGCGTATTTGGAGATTACTTAACATAATCGTATATGTCAAATTTTATTTTAGGAAAATCCTGTTGCAAAACCTCTAAAGATCGTAAATTCACACCATCGCGCCGTCTGCCATACCATACAGCAAAACATCAAGCATATGTTAGCAAATGAATAAACCCATAAAGGACGCATTGGGAGTGACAGAAGGTAACTGGAAAGATTAAAATTCCACCACATACACACAAGAGAACAACCACCTTGTACGAGGACCGTTCAATTGAATAGCTAACCAACCGACTTATAGAAACTGCTTTATCCTCGACAGATGTAGCATTTTCACTGTTTTTCTTTTTAGATTTGTCATTAGAAAATTATAATGCAAGTTATATTGCACTAGTAATTTGAATATTGCAGCCAGTTTAGTGGCATATATAAAACTTCAGTTGGGATGTGGCCCATAGGTTTTGGAGGGGAGTCTAATGGATCAAAAAGATTATGGGGATGGAATGTACAACTTTCATGATTATGCTGTTTTCAAAATCGTAAATGGATAACAACATAAAAATTATTTAAACCATCAGTAGTAGTAGTAGTAGACAACGTTTCAATGGATTAATATAACGAAAGAAGTATCATGTTTGCAAATAAAAAACCGGGAACCAGCTTTTTATTCTTCACTACACGAATTTACATAGTTTCATATTTTCAGCTTGAAGATTGAAAACAATTCAATTTCTATGAACTTTCCCGAATTGGTGGAATTT